CCTACGCGAGCCGGCCCGTCATGGGCCACCTCATGGCGAGTCAGCCCATCGCGGGCCAATTTTTCTTTCTTTCTTTTAATATTTTTATATATTTTAAAATATTTTTATATACAATTTAAATTTTTATTATATATTTAATTTGTTTTGTTTAAAATTTTAAATTTTTTTATTATATTCTAAATTTTTTATTATTTTTTAAATATTTTTTAAATATTAAAATTATTTTAAAATATTTTTAGTAATAAAAATTTATTTTTAAAATTATATATTTAGCCCGCGGGCCGGCTCATTTGGCTCGCGGGCTAAGGCGATTTGGGGTGGGCTGGTTTATTTTGACTCGTTAAAAAATGGGTTGGGCTGGGCTGGGTTAAAATTTTCTCGGATCGGGACGAGCCGGGCTGGGCTAGGCCGAGCCAACCCGTTTTACACCCCTACTTTTTTTAACATGATAGTTTAATTTTTAAATAGAAACGATGAAAAAAAATTATTTTAGTTGGTCCTAGATATATGGAAACAAAACGTAATAGAGATATAACTCCTAGAAGAAAAGAAGACTAATTCTCTCATGTTTTGTTCAACGCAAATAACCGCTAAGCGGCCGTTCCGCATCAATACCTCTTCCGTCGAGAAGAATCTTAGCCACAAGTTTCAGATGTAAAAAATTAATGTGTATCTGTTTCTCTCGATCGAATGGAGAAGTGATATGTGCCGCTGAAAGAGAATCAACGAGGCGAGTGAGATATGTTTTTAGTGCACGAAATTGCTCTGTCATGGACGTCTGCACTTGGGCGAATTCACTCTACAATGTCAAAAGTTTTGTTTCCATATAAATTCGATGCGTTCCTTGTGGGTCGCCATTATGATACCACGTGTTGTGCTCTGGATCGTGAATGGCAGAAAATAAAAGGTCGACAATCCAGATTTCAGGTTGTCAATGACCTCTTTGGTTGTCATGTGATACCACCGAGTGGTCCGGATCAACGATATTGAAAAAACAAAGAAAGAAAAAGATAGACTTTTGTACCAATAATAGTGGTCCCAATCAAAAGCGAAGACCAACACAAGATTTCTACAAAAATATTATCTATCTTTTTTAACATGATAGTTTAATTTTTAAATAGAAAAGATGAAAAAAAATTACTTTAGTGGGTCCTAGATATATGGAAACAAAACGTAATAGAGATATAACTCCTAAAAGAAATGAAGACTAATTCTCCCATGTTTTATTCAACGCAAATAACCGTTATGCGGCTGGTCCGCCTCACTCCTCCTTCCGTCGAGAAGAACCTTGCCCACAAGGTTCAGATGTGGAAAATTGATGCGTATCTGTTTCCCTCGATCGAATGCAGAAGCGATATGTACCACTTAAAGAGAATTAATGAGACGAGTGAAAGATGTTTCTAGTGCATCAGAATTGCTCTGTCATGGACGTTTGCACTTGGACGAATTCACTTTGCAATGTCGAAAGTTCTGTTTCCAGAAATTTGATGTGTTCTTTGTCGGTCGCCACTGTGATATTATGTGTTGTGGTCTGATTGTGAATGGAAGAAAATAAAGGGTCGACAATCCTGATTTCAGATTGTTAATGACCTCTTTGGTTGTCATGATACTACCGAGTGGTCCGGATCAACGATAACGAAAGAAATAAAGAAAGAAAAAGATAGGCTCTAATACCAATGATAGTGGTCTCTAGGGGTGGCCATTTTGGGTTTTGGTTAGGTTTTCGGTTCGGTTATTTCGGTTATAAAAAATCATACCCAAACGGTTATATAGATTTAATCGGTTCGGTTCAATTCGATTTCGGTTCGGTTCGGTTCGGTTTTTGTATAATAAAATTATAACCAAACGGTTATATTTTTTGGTTTATTCGGCTCGGTTTTAGATCGGTTCGGTTCGGTTATGATATATATTGAAAAAAAAATTATTAATCCTGCATAAACTTCAAAATATCTATCCAAATAAATCCACAAAATGATTAATCCTCCAATAAAATTATAAAAAATATCTAAAAACTTCAATAATTAGGATAAAAGTTAAAAACACGGTTTGGTTATTTGCTTAGTAACCGAACGGTTGAGAAAGTTGAATAACCGTTCAGGTTCGGTTCGGTTAATAACCTAATAACCGCGGTTAACCAAACGGTTATTGAATTTTTTTTCATATTTTAACTTTTATCCTCATTATTATTAGTATTATTTTTTTATATTTCAGTTTTAACCTTATATATTTCATCCAACAAACAATAAAATTTAATGTTTTTAGGACCCACTAAAGTGATTTGCTTTCATCTTTGTCTATTTAAAGATTAATTATCATGTTAAAAAAATAGAGAATATTTTTGTAGAAATCTTGTGTTGTTCTTCGCTTTTGATTGGGACCACTAGGGGTGACGATTTCAGTTATTAACCGAATAACCAAACCGAACCGAACCGAATA